TAGTCCATGCGGCTGATCGTGCAAGCGCAACGGCTCTCATAAAGGTTTCCTACGGTTAGTCAGCGACCTCCCCTTCCTCTCCTCCTCCTCTCTTATCGCATACCACATCCTCCCCGCTTTTGAGACCAATGCTCCAAACCTGTGAGGTACAAATGAGAACGAACGATGCGACCAGAGGAGAGGAGAGGAGAGGAGAGGAGAGGAGAGGAGAGGAGAGGAGAGGAGAGGAGAGGAGAGGAGAGGAGCAGCGTCGTGTACCGTGTTGGAAGAGTCAGCGAAGGACACGTAGTTGCTGGCTTGAGGAACGGCTTTAAAGCTCACGGCGATGTCATGCGAGATAACCGGAGCTTTGGTCCTGTCGTACACGAGCAGCTTCATCCCCTCCTTTCCGGTCCCCATCACCACCACCCCTAGTGACCCGTCGGGCCCTGCCCGGTCCGGAGGCACCGCGACGGCTTGGAAGGAGCCATCGAGAAGGCGGAAGGGATGGCAGGTGGAGGCGAAGATGATGGAGGGAGAGGCTGAGGAGGGTCGGCGAGGAGGAGGCAAGACAGGAGGCATGTCGGGAGGAGCAGACATCAAGTCGGAGGCAGGTCGAGGTTGCTTCGGCGCCTTGAACTGCAGGGAAGAGCTGAGCCTCTCCTCCTCCTCCTCCTCTTCGAACAGCTGAGCCTGCCGCCTTCGTTAGCTCACCCAGCCCTCACATGCCTTGCTCACCAGCCTCGCCCTCGCCGGATTCGAATTCGACATCTGCTGCAAGGCCAACGTCAGCAATATCTCCTGCTGCTGCAGCAGCAGCCTCCTCCTGCTCCTTTTCTTCTTCTCCTCCTGCTCCTTTTCTTCTTCTCCTCCTGCTCTTCTCCTTCTTCTTCTCCTCGTTCTCGTTCTCTTCTCCTTCTTCTCCTCCTGCTCTTCTCCTTCTTCTTCTCCTCGTTCTCGTTCTCTTCTCCTTCTTCTCCTCCTGCTCTTCTCCTTCTCCTTCTTCTTCTCCTCGTTCTCTTCTCCTTCTTCTTCTCCTCCTGCTCTTCTCCTTCTCCTTCTTCTTCTCCTCGTTCTCGTTCTCTTCTCCTTCTTCTCCTCCTGCTCTTCTCCTTCTCCTTCTTCTTCTCCTCGTTCTCTTCTCCTTCTTCTTCTCCTCCTGCTCTTCTCCTCCTGCTCTTCTCCTTCTCCTTCTTCTTCTCCTCGTTCTCGTTCTCTTCTCCTTCTTCTCCTCCTGCTCTTCTCCTTCTCCTTCTTCTTCTCCTCGTTCTCTTCTCCTTCTTCTTCTCCTCCTGCTCTTCTCCTCCTGCTCTTCTCCTTCTTCTTCTCCTCGTTCTCGTTCTCGTTCTCCTTCTCCTCCTGCTCCCTCATTCTTCGGACATGACTCATCGATACCCCTCATCCCCCCTCATATCCCCAAAAAAGTTCACCCGGGCCTGCCCCAGAGGGGGTTTCGTATCCAGGAACATACAAGCTTTACTTAGCGAGAGAGGTCAAGTCAGAGAGACTAGAGGAGGGAGGAGAGAGGTCAAGTCAGAGAGAGGAGGTCTGAGCAAGGGAGGACGCAAACGGGCTGAGAGGACTGGAAGGGCTGGAGCGGGTCCAGCTCAGGATTCATCTGAAGGAGAATCTTTGCTGTAGTCCGGAACCTGCTCATAGTCAGCTTCATCCTCATCTCCTCCTCCTCCGCCCTACCTCGCTGCAAGTTGTCCAACGCTCTCGCCTGGTAGCGCATGAAAGGAGATCCCGATGCGCAGGCGCTGGTCTTGCTTGACCTCAACCATGTCGGGGTCGGTCATGCGAGTCATGACAGGGGCCGATGGAGGGAAGAGGATGCCGGAGACGTTGGCGGTGCGGGCAGGAGGCTGAAAGCTGTTGAGGGCCCACAGGTGGTACCAGGTGACGTCAACTCCCATCGCCCCAACCAGCGACGTCAAGGAGCTTCGATCCTCCACACAGTACTGACACTTCCCCACCAGCACGTGCACGCAGGCGTCAGCGCAGATGCCTCCTCCGCACTCGCTGTCCTCCATGCAGCTCAAGAGCGCGTGGCTTCCGCCATGGCATACCTTGCTCATGGGGGAGGGGAAGATGCCGTAAGGATCGCTGGCCCCGAAGCAGAGCAAGAAGGTCAAGCTCTCCTCTCCGAAGTTCTGCTTCCACCTGACCACGATTTGGTTCCCCGTGCGCGACTGCTCTAGAGAGCTGAGGTTGCTCGAGGTGAGCTGGGGGCTGACCTCGTAGCGCTGCTCTCCGGGGGCGAGGAGGTCGGAGTTGTCGAAGGTGGAGATGACGATCTCGTTCAAGCAGCCCACGTAGGTGGTGAAGCGCCAGGAGGGAGGGAGGGAGGAGAAGAAGCCCTCCCAGCGCACGCGTAGGGGAACAACCTCGAGCGAGACGCAGGAAGGAGCGCTGAACCATCCGCGAGCCGTGGCGAGCTCAGGCCCCGCATTGAAGCAAGTATCGCTGTTGTCCCTCGCCGACGCGCACACTTTGAACGTCATTCCAGCTGTATCGGGGCCTGGAGTCCAGCTGAACCTGCGGGAGGCTGAGCTGCACCTGGAGGAGATGGAGGGCTGGAAGTTGACTCTAATGTCCTGCTGGTGGTACTGCTGGAGGTCGACGAGGTCGGGGGTGGTGCAGAGACCCTCCGTGTTCGCCTCCCGCCAGTGACAGCGCGAGACGTCAACGGAGGCGCCGCGGGGGAGGCCTGGGTTGCCGGTGATAAAGATCTCAATGTCATCCTCGGGGTTGGGGTCCTGCTGCATGTCAGGCCCTCCTCCTCCTCCTCCTCCTCCTCCTCCTCCTCCTCCTCCTCCTCCTCTCCTTCCTCACCTGAGCCACGAAGAAGAAGCTCGACTCCTGCTGGACTCGCAGACGGACTCGCTGCTGGGGGACCCAGACGAGAGGGGGGGCAGCAAGTTTAATCTTCCAGCAGTGGACGTCGGAGGCCATGTCGCCGTTGCTGTGATCCCTCAGCCACTCGGGCAGGTCGTCGCCGTTGGGGTCGCTCTCTCCCACCCATCGCCCGAAGATTTGACGCGAGTTGTCATAGGCGACCGCACAGATTGTCTGGTCCATGTTGACAACTTTCTGGAAGCAGCTGAAGTTGAAGAGTCCCTCGACCAGAGGAGCCGCGCACTCCTTGTGCACTTCGATCCCATTCCTCGCGCTTACGTCCGGCACGTACCTCACTCGCAGCTCTGCCGTTCCTCCCGCATACTCGACCTTGGCGTCATAGTTGGACGCCACCGTCTTGAACAGGACGCTGCCTCCTGTCTCTTGCGCCTCTGGTGAGATCTGCATTGCGTTGTTTCCCGTCCTCTGAGCGCCATACCCGTTGAACTGACCGCAGGTAGCAAGCGAAGGAGGGAAGGAGAAACTCTGCGAGCTGAAGAAGTCCCAGTTACCCTGTCCCCCATCAGGGAGAAAGTGATAGGCAGAAGAGCTGCTGCAGACTTCCTGGTCGAAGTAGGAAGGATTGACGTCGACGTCCCTCACGAACACTCGGAACTTCCTCTGCTGATATTCAGCGTCACTGATGCTCATCGTCACCGAGTCTGCCGCTCTCAGCACGAGGTCCTTGGACCATCCCTCGCACGCCTGCAGGCCCGTCAGAGAGAGAGAGGAGCAAGGGCTGACTCACCGCAAAGTCATGTCGGTTGGGGATCAGCTGCGCGTTATCATCGTAGGAAGGAGTGAGGGGGGTCGGCACGACGAAGGTGGGCTTGCTCGCCACGATCTTGAGCTTGATGCAGTGAGGAGTGGAGGCGCAGGTCTTGGCGTCCGATGTGCTCAGCACTGACTCTGTGCTGTCCACGTCATAAGCGACGAAGCAGATGACCGAGATGTTCCCTGCCGATCTGAAGTGAAACCTGTTCCCCAGCCAGTCACCCGACGGTGTGTGAGTGTAGAGGTAGGAGGCACTGCCGAACACATTGACGCCCGTGGTCTGCGTGAGCGAAGTCTCGGGGTAGTTCTCGAAGCCTGCCGCATAGCGGACGATGACCTTCTGATCCGAGGAGGTGGTCGTCTGCTGGACTCCCGTGCTGGTGATTGTGAAGTCCTTGACGTACAGGGGGATGGAGCAGGGCTCCCAGAAGTTGCACTCGAAGTAGTTGGAGGCTCCGCAGGTGGTTGCATCCAGGGAGTCGACGAAGCAGGGAGGCTGGTTCTTCAAGCCTGCGTCGCACGCGTACAGTGCGAAGATGTTCTGAACCATGGCACGGGTGACGGAGGAGGCATCGGTGTTGTACTGAAGCGTCAAATTCCCGACGTAAGGCTTGACAGTGACAGGATCAGCACAGGATGCTCGATCGGGATTGTCCACGTCGAGGAAAGGAAAGTCAACAGTATCGATTACATGCTGCGTAAAGAGATGCTTCACGTTTTGCGTTGTAGATGAGCTGAGGACTAGAGAGAAGTTGAAGTCAAGTTTGATCAAGCCTCCCTGCCTCTTGGTCGCATCCCGATCGCCATCGAAGAAGAACTTGCATCCCGTCACTGCCGTTGTCTTGGGATCGAGCGGCCATACCCCCTGGTTCGGGTTGTCGTTGTCGATGCAGTCGACTCGGGCGTTGCAGATATCGACGGAACCAGCCTTCTTGTTGCCGTTCTGCCGCATCTCCTGCTTGAGCATCGGCGAGTACTGCGACATTTGGTGCCCATCGTAGTCGTACGAGAGCATGCGGAAGGCCCGGTGAGGCGCGTTGTAAGTTGAAGAGGAGGCTGCAAAGGTGTATCTGTAGGCCGAGCTGGAGCGGGTGAAGGGAGTGATGGCGATCTCGATGAAGGGGGGGAAGGGAACGACAGGAGAGAAGTAGTTGCTCAGCCCCTTGGAGCACGAGTATGACCCAGACCCGACTGAGCACAGAGGTACGAACGTCTCCAAGGCCGGAGAAAAGCTGACCAGAGTGTTCTCGTAACCAGCGCTTGGCTGACTGAAGGGGAAGAGAAGTCGGGACTTGAAGCTCACCCAGTAGTCCCCAGTGATGCCTACAGTCTGACTTTGAACCGGATCTTGACTGAGAAACATTTTTCGCCCTTCACTGCAGGGGTTAGCCATACATGTGTCCATGTTGGCCTGACATTGCTTGAGGAGCAGGCCCGTCTGAGAACGGATGAGCGAGTCGTACTGAGCACGAGGAGCTAACCACGCCACGAGCCCCACAGCGTCTTGATCCACCCGCACGGTGTGGGTCATCTTCCCCGACAAGACTTCTTTCCCCGCGGGCATCCAGTTGCGGTCAACCGTGGAAGTTGGTCTCGCCTGCGTGTAGTGGTTTGTGACGATGAACCTGTTGGCCTTCCCGAGCTGTGACGGGCTCACATTCACTCGGCTGTAGTTGGTGCTCACGTTCACAGATTGATAGTTCACGTCATGCCCGCACTGCGCTCCTGACACGTAGTACTTGGATCGCAGGACGCCAGAGCTCGAGGCGTCGGGGATGAGCTGAGCGACACACAGCACGCCGAAGAGCTCAGCTTCATGGCAGCCGTTGGTAGGGTCAGGACAGATGTTGTTGTTGGCTGAAGGCTTGCACACCACTTGCTCAAACGGTGCAGTCACAGAGCACTCCAGCCCGTCTTGGATGGTGAAGGCTGTGCTTAGCGTTAGCTGGACCGTCCTGGAGTTGGGATCGCGCGCGAAGTTCCGATCGATCGCCCAGCTCAGGTGACCACCCAGCAAGCTCTGCATGGGAATGTTGGATTGGGCATTTACCAACTCTAAGACGATCGCGACGAAGATTGTCCAGAAGGTTCTTCTAACCATCTCTTCTCTTCTCTTCTCTGCCCTTGTATGCTAACTCTGGTAACGTCCTCTCTCCTCTCTCCTCTCTCCTCTCTCCTCTCCTCTCTTCACTTCTGCCGCATCGATTCGTTTCCTTTCACTTTCCCCATGCCATCTCCGTGCCCCTTGAGGTCAAGCGACCACCCTACTCCTACCCCATGAGCTCTTTCACACCCCTACCCTCGTATTCCTCCTTTTCTACCACAAATGGACCCCTTCTAGATAGCACCGGGTATGACCCCCCACCCCTCACCATCCGGATACGAGGAGGGATGAGGGCCTCCATGGATACGAGGAGGGATGAGGGGATGTCGAGGAATTGAGGGTATGAGGGAGATGAGTGTTTACTTTAGGCAGGGGTAGTTTTTACTGTTATTTGTAGGGGTAGGGGTAGTGGACTCGGAAGTAACGCTAGTCAACAGGGGAGGAGAGAAGAGAGAGAGAGAGAGAGAGGAGGAGAGGAGAGGAGAGGAGAGGAGAGGAGAGGAGAGGAGAGGAGAGGAGAGGAGAGCAGAGCAGAGCAGAGCAGAGCAGAGCAGAGCAGAGCAGAGCAGAGCAGAGAGAGAGGAGAGGGAGAGGGTGTGGCTGATCCTTTCATGTCTTAGTGACGCACGATGGCGGCTAGTATCATCATCAAGAACCTCAGAAGACGAGCAGCCGAGCAAGGAGAGGAGGAAGCGGTCCAAGGCTTCAAGGACGTGGAATTGACGCGATCGGATGCACCCAACAAGCGCGTGCGGGAAGGGATGGTGGAGAAGAAGTTTCTGTCGTCTAGCGGGCTTGTGTCATGGCAGGCACGATACGCCATCTTGTCCGAGTCTTTCCTGGTGCTCGCAGACCCCGAGGAGCGGGAAGCTGTTATCGACATGATCCCCCTGATTGACGTGCTCCGAGTCAGCACCAGAGCCAGACGGACTAGAGCCTGCTCGAGCCTGAGCAGCTTCGACAAGGACAAGGACAAGGACAAGGAGGAAGAGGAGGAGGAAACGATGATCATTAGGACGATACCCGGAGGACGGAACTGCGGGAGGAACTACACGTTCCGAATGCCTGAGGGCAACTTGTGGGAGTGGTACGATGAGGTGGAGGAGAAGATAGAGTTGGCGAAGCGATGGCACGAGAAAATGCGAATCATGGAAGAGATCGGGCCGAGCTTGCTCAACCGAACGCGACACAAGGTGATGAGGAGGAGGAGGGCCGAGGTGAGGGGGGGATGAGAGGAAGGGATAGAGGACGAGATAGAGGAGACAAGAGCGAGGAAGAAGGTAAAGGTACAGCAGGTGCTGAGCATGTACGAGGGAACGAGCTTCCAGACACTCGTCGCTCTCCTCATCCTCGCGAGCTTCGCGGTGGATCTCGGCGAGGCAGAGGTTCTGCCGCAGGATGGCTCGAAGCAAGATGTGCTGTTCCAGAACCTCGGGATCTTCTTCACGGTCTGATGCCTCCCTGTCTGCCTTGCGATCACCACGTCATCTCTTCTCTCTTCTCTCTCATCGTCTGTTCTTCCCTTCATTGACTTGCTTCCGCTGTTGATGCAGGCGGC